GCCAAGCCACCCAGGTCCAGGATGGAGCGACACAAGACAGCCCCGAGTCCAAGCCACCCAGGTCCAGGATAGAGCGACACAAGACAGCCCCGAGTCCAGGCCACCCAGGTCCAGGATGGAGCGACACAGACAGCCCCGAGGCCAAGTCACCCAGGTCCAGGATGGAGCGACACAAGACAGCCCCGAGTCCTGTGGAGGAAGCCTCGCCAGGGCTCAGGAGAACAGATGACTGGTTTCCGCTTAGACCCCTTCCACCACATATCCTCACTCCTCAGGTTCCAAAGTCCCTCTGGTAGAGGATCTGTCTGAACAATTCTTTTAGAATTCTAACAATAGATTCTCTTAGATTTCCTTCATATGAGAAAGTATTCCATGCTCAGTCCTGGAGGCTACTCTCAGGACCTGAGATTCTGGGTTCACAGTCACGTGGCTTCCATGCTTCTGAGAAGTCAGAGTCACTCCAATCACTTCTGACCTGCATGTCACGCACTGTGCTTCTCTAGCAGTTTTCTGAGATTTCTTTTTGTCTTTAGTTTTCAGCAGTTTTTTCTGAAGCTCCCAGGTAGGGATTTCTTTGAGTTTACCATGTGGGGGTTTGTTGACTTCAGTGGTCCACAGGTTTATAAGTTTCACCAAAGTGAGACATTTTCAGCCACTGTTTCTTCAAATATTTGTTCCTCCACTCCACTTGCTTCATCCTTTTGGGATCCCAATGGTACCATCCCACAGGGCTCTGAGGCTCCGTGCCCCTTCTTCCTCTGTTGTTCACATGAGACAATTCCTGTTCATCTTCAAGGTCACCAACTCTCTTCTCTGTCACCTCCATCCTCCCTTTAAGCCCACCCAGTAGGTTTAATTTTGATTAGTATATTTTTCATTTCTTATTTACATTTTCCATTTCTCTCCTGAGATGTTTTATCTTTCCATTTTATAATAGGTGCTTTAGAGTATTTAAAACAGATCACACTGATGTATCTGCTGTCTCTTCCTTTGTGAATTAGATGGGATTACCCCTGTCTTTTGGTAAGCTGAATAATTTTAGATGGGAGGCTAGACATTTTGGATATTATGTTTTTTTATAACTTTATTTATTTACTTATTCATTCATTCATTCATTTGTGGTGCAAACCCAGAACCTCATAGGCGCAAGGCAAGGGCTCTGGAACTGAGCCACAACCCCAGCCTTTGGAGACTTTTTTTTTTTTTTTAAATACTGTGAAGAATGTTGACATTTTGTATTTTGTTTTGGCTACAAGTTCCAACCAACCTTCTCTAGGTTTGTGTTTCAACATAAGTTCAACTTACACATACATGTACATGTGTCATGTACACAAAGAACTTAGTTCTTCAACAATAATCAAATGATGCCTTATTTAGGTAATGTTCATAGTATTTACCATATACCAAGTACTTTTATAAGCACTTGAAACATATTAACTCGTTAATCCTCACAACAATCCTATAATTAGATACAATTACTATTTCCATTTTTGTGGGGACAAGTGCATGGAGTACTGCATACATGGCATATTAAGGGTGTCTGAGTGGCAGGCCACTCCCCTCCTGCTAGGTGCCTGAGCAGCAAACCGCTTACCTTGTAGGCACAGCCCTGGGTGTGAGGCCCTGGGTGTGAGGCCCCGTGCTGCACTCCCTGTGCTTGCTCCATGGCCCACTCCTCAATTGGTCACTGCAAGGACAGTTGGCAGAAATTGCATTGGTGGCTGCCTGTACTCTGCCTAGCTACTGCCTGAATATATGTGCATGGTAACTGTGCAATAAAATCAGACCTGCTTCCTGCTTGGTCTCCAGAGTTCTTGATTAGTGACTTTGCAACCACACTCTCCTCTACCCTGTTCTGTGGACCTTCTCACTGGACAAGAGAGAGCCCACGCACATTGCACACTTGAGAAGACTGAAATTAAACAACTGAAATTAATGCGACATACTTAGCATTTAGTGGAGTTAGAATTCATACCCAGGCAGTCTGGTTCCAGAGTCCACATTACAAACCTTTATGCCACTCTTAAAATGTTTTCCCTGGGTCAGGGACGTGGCTCAGTTGATAGGGTGCTTGCCTTGCATGCATAAGGCTCTGGGTTCAATCCCCAGCACCACAAAAAAAAATTTATTTTTCCCTGATAATGAACAACAATGTTGTTTAAAATATTTAGCTGGGCACATTGGCACACCCCTATAATCCCTGTGATTTGGGAGGCTGAGGCAAGAGAATCACAAATTTGAAGCCAGCCTCAGAAATTTAGCAAGACTCTGACTCAGAATAAAAACTAAAAAATGGCTGGGATATGGCTCACTGGTAAGAGTGTCCCTGGGTTCAATCCCTAGTACTGCTAAGTAAATAAATAAAGGAAGGAAGAAAGGAATTAAAGAAAGAAATATGGATGTATTTAAATGATCCAAGGAACAAGTCCCAATGGCAGTGTACCTTTTGGGGCATTGTACCTAAGAAAAACTGTCATGCTATTACCATGAATCACTCTTTATGTCTTTGCTATAAAAAAAAAAATAATGGAGGGCTGGGGATATAGCTCAGTTGGTAGAGTGCTTGCCTTCTATGCACAAGGTCCTGGGTTCAATCCTCAGCACCACACACACACACACACACACAAATAAATAAATAAAATAAAATAAAAATAATTGAACAATTCCAAATTATTTTTATTTGATTGATTTTCTAAGTTTATATATTAAATTTGATGATTTCTTATAATAATAAATTTGCTTAAAATTAAACCAGAGAAACCAAAAGGAAAAGACAGTGAGAAAGATCAAGATGCAAGAACACTTTTGGCCCAAAATCTCCCTTATAAAGTCACTCAGATTGAATTAAAAGAAGTGTCTGAAGAGGCCATGAGGATAGGATCAGTCAGCAAGGATGGGGAAAGGAGAGGGACTGCTCACATGGAATTTAAGACAGAAGGTGATGCAGAAAAAACCTTGAAAGCCAAGCAGGGGACAGCGATGGACGGGCAATTTGCTTCCCTCTACTAGACTGGAAGAGAAAGGTCAAAATTAAGACTACAGAGGTGGAAAGAACACCACTTGGAGTGGTGATCAAAACTCTGGTTTTAAGCAACCTCTTTTACCCTGCAACAGAAGAAACTCTTCAGGAAGTATTTGAGAAGGCAACTTTTATCAAAGTACCCCAGAACCAAAATGGCAAATCTAAAGTGTATGCATTTGTAGAGTTTGCTTCTTTGAAGATGCAACAGAAGCTTTAAATTCTTGTAATAAAAGGGAAATGGAGGGTACTGTATTTAGGCTGGAGTTGCAAGGACCCAGGGAATGGCCTAATGCAGGAAGCCAGACATTGAAAACGCTGTCAAAGGTCGCCCTGAGGATACCACCCAAGAAGCCTTAAAGGAATCATCTGACTGCTCTGTTCCTGCAAGGATAGTCAATGACCAGGAAACTGGGTCCTCCAAAGAGTTTGGTTTTATAGACTTCAACAGTGAAGAGGATGCCAAAGCCGCCAACGAGGCTGTGGAAGACGGGAAACTGATGGACACAAAGTTACCTTGGACTGGGCCATGCCTAGAGGGAAAGGTGGCCTTGCGGGTCGTGGTAGAAGCAGAAGAGGCTTCTGAGGCAGGGTTGGTGGCCAAGGAGACAGGGGGAGGAGGAGACCAAAGCCACAAGGAAAGAAGACAGGGTTTGAACAGTTTCTTCTGTCCCTCTTCCATTTGAAAGAAAGGACTCCGGGGTTTTTAACTCTGAATGACAGAGCCCTCTGAGGACCTTCTAAGACAGTGCACAGTCCTATGGTCTACTTGGAAATCCACACAGATGACATTTCAAAAGGAGGTACCCTGTTGGATATGACAGGATGGTCACATGAACTTTTTAAAGAGATGACTGATACAGCTTACCCTTATCTGTAAGTTTTGAATTTATATTGTTTCATCTCACACACAAAACTGTTTTTTTCTGTACAAATAGTTTTTTGTTTTATTTTTGTATTAGGAGGTTGTAAAGGAAAGCAAAATGTTTTATGATTTTTGCTCCAGTGACATTAGAACAAATTGAAAGTCCTAATCTCTGGTGCCAGACTTGTAAAAAAAATAATAATAATAATCATTTTGCTGACGGAACTATCAGTTTATTCAGAATATAAATTAAGTTTAATTTATATTAAACTTAAGTTTAAGCTTCTACTACTGGTCATAAAAATGTTAACAATAAAAATAATATTAAAGTAAAGTAAGTTTGAGAACTCTAATCTACAAACAATAAAAAACTAGAAATTTAGTCAAAGAAAATAATCAGAAATGACAGCAAAAATTCAACCACAAGAGTAATCACTGTAACACAATTAAACAGCAAAACGCTGACCATAATTTACCAATGGAACAACAACTGGCAGATTAAATATTGTGGTGTTTACCCTGGAGAGAAAAGAGGATGTAGAGTTTCCCTGGCATTTTAAGATGACCCAGGCTGCACAGTCAGGTGGGAGGGGGACCTGCATCCCACCTGTGACTGTAGACCTCTGCTGCCTTCAAGATGAGACTCAGGAACCCTTCCTCTGCCGCATCCTCCCAACCCTTCCCCTCTGGGCATGAGCAGGTCTACAAGTCACATCCCACACAAGGATCCCTCTGCAGAGGTGAGAGCTAGAGGGAGAAGAGCCCTCTTGACAGATGTGTGGTCCTCGCCAGTCCAGGAAGGGGTCCCTTTCCTCCCATTCCCCCTGGAAGCACTGTGGGGGATCAGCGGCCCTCCCACCACTCCACAACATTATCACATCATATGTGTCTACTGCCTTTCCATTTCTCTAAGAAACTACAAGTTCTTGGGGAGCCACAACAGAGACTTAGGGGCCAGACACAGTGGTTATTAAAAATTTCCTTAGAACTGTTCTTCTGCTTCGTCAGATGCCTAAAGAAAGACTAAGTACAAAGAAAGGGCTTACACTTGGTCATTTCTTGAATGGAAAACATAAACACCAAGGAGGAAGAAGAGGAAGAACCTCTGAGAGTCCACTGGACCCTTTGAGTCTATCCCTGAAGTCTCAGCGTTCACCAGAAATGCAAGAAATGGGAAACAGGCTCCAAGGTGGAACTGTTTTTGTTTTGTTTTTTGAGACAGGGCCTCACTAAGTTGCTCAAGCTGCTCTTGAACTTGCATTCCTCCTGCCTCAGCCTCCTAGTTGCTGGGATTATAGGTATGCACCACCATGCCTGCCTGGAACTCTTAAATAGACAAGTTTCAGAAAAAAACAAACTGAACAAAATCAGGAAAAGTGAGACTTTAGTGGGGAGAAAGGGATCACTAACTCACCGGGCACATGGCTTTAACAAGTTCAGTTCTTGTCACCTCCACTTCTTGCTGGCTCTTTATTTGGAAAAGGGCCTTGCCTCAAGCACAGAGCTGAAAGAGGAGAGAGTTGTGAGAGACCAGGCAGCACTAGGAATCACAGCTTAGAAACCCTCCCTGACCTTCAGCCGCATTTGCTTTTGCCCCCATCCCCACTCCATCTCCACAGACCAGATACCCACAGGAGAATTTGTAGCCTACAACTAGGGTTCCCCTCTGCTCTGGGTTTTCAGGTTGAACACAGCCAGTCCCTCTTCGTGCCTCTCTCTCTCAGCCACCTATTCACTAACAGAGATTTATGAGGTATGCTACATATATTAATCATCTCTTTAAATCTCCACAATCATCAAAGTAGAGGATATTGTCACCATTTTACAAAGGAAGTCTCTGGGCAAGTGAGAGCTTTTATGTAGTTACACAGCTCATAATAGTAAGAATCAGTCAACAACCTAAGTCTTCCTGACTCTACCACACAAATTAATTGCTTGACACCAGAAAATATGCCCTCTTGCAAGAAACCAGGATTTGTCCAGATTCTACATGATGAATCTGTTGGAGAATGCCACTGTTCCCAGAGAGAGGCCTTACCTTTGATGTGACAAAACATCCTTGAGTGCAGAAAACTGTTCCAACAAAACTGTCATGAGACCTAAGTTCTCGTTTTGCTTTTGAGGCAAACTGCAGCTTTGATGAAGTTCCTCGATAACCTTAGCCATTCTTTTAATCAGGAAGAGGACAGTATCTAAATGAATTCTGGCTTCTTTCCCAAAATTCCATTGCCTTCTAAAAGGATACTATAATGATGATAATAAGAATGAACTCTTACTTAGAACCATAAAGTTTAACAAATCTCCAAACTCACTAAGTGGAAGTTTGAAGATCTGAACTCTTAAAAATTACTTCCAGTTCTCAGGTGTTTCTGCAATTGTCAAAAGTGGCTGGGAATACCTACTGCAGACAGTTACTGAGGGACAGTACAGAAGGGGCTCTGGAGGGCTGGGGGTGGAGCTCAGTGGAGGAGCCTGTGCTAGCATATGCAAGGCCCTGGGTTCAAACCCCAGCACCGGGAGGAAAGAAAAAAAAATCCTAGAAGGGGCTCTGGAGTCAGCCTGTCCTGGATCTGAATCCTGGTTCTTCAACTTATTAGTGATCACTTATCTTCTCCCTGCTTTGGCATCCTCATCTGTAAGGACAGGTGGTCCCCACTTTATAAAGTCGTGTCTTTGCTGTTAACACTCCCAGAGGTCTTCAACAAGGTCTGGCACAGAGGCACTCATCAAAGGTTAGCCATTCTAACCCCACGGCGGAGAGCAAGCAAAGAACAAGGGCTAGGTGGCTAGGAGCAGCAATTTGTCCCCCTCTCTTTAATGACCTGGAGACAGTGACAGAGGAAGTCTGAAGGATGGGAATGGTCTCTGGCACTGACTCGCAGGTGACTACGCCAGGGACGAGACGGAATCGCTCCGCATTTCGAGGTGAAGTGCGAACCCTGCGTCCCTCCGCAGACCAATTCCCTGGTGGATGGGACAAGGACCCCAGAAGGAAAATCCTCAACGCTGACAGGGTCGTGCTAGAGCAGCCGAGGACCCGGAGGACGCCGTAACGGGGAGCATTCTCGTGTTGGCGCCCTGGGCCCACCACCTGAACTGGGGGGCACACCTGGTGAGGTGACGCTGCGAGTCACGGTCCCCTTGTGAACTCGCTCCACGCTCTGGACCAAGGTGAGCCACCAACCCCGCGGACTCCGGCATCCACCAGCCCTGGAGGCCAGGGACAGCCTCCTCCAGTACTCGGTCCCCAAAGGACAGCGCCCAGGCCTCCATTTCCACTCTTTGGGGCGCACCCAACCCACCGTCTCTCAGCTCCGGCGAGTTCCCAGGTCTCCGCGGCGTGGGGACGCGTCCTGCGCCGCCCCTCCGTCAGGCGGGTGAGCCCGAAAAGCCGGAAAGGCCGCGGCCGCCACCCCTCGCGACGCCTTCCAGGGCCCCAGGCTCCGGCCCACAGGGACGACGCAGGGCACCCAGGGCGACCCCTCCCGGAGCCCCGCCGACAGCTCCCACCTCCCGCTCGGCCCCTCCCCATGGCCCGGACCGGCCACGGCGCCAGACTCGCTCAGCCCCCGGACCCGAGACTTCCAGTGGCGGCCGGAAGTGCGTGTGTCCTGCCGCTCGGTGCCCTGGGAAGTGTGGTCTCGGAGGCGGCGGCCGGAAGTGGGGAAGCCGGGCGCCTGTGTGCTCCGCTCCGGGCGGGCCGGATGGAGGGGCTGCGCTTCTCGGGCCGGGGCCAGGACACAGGCGCTCGCGGGACACGCGAGGCCCCGGGCGGCGGGCTCTCCTCCCGACGGGGCGGGGAGCTGGACGCCTGGGCTGCGCGCCTGACTTCCGGGCGCCCGCTAGCACTGAGATTTCCCCGTGGGCCTTTGATTTCCTGCCCGCCAGCACTGTGCTCGGACGCGGTCCGCGGGCGGAGGGCGACCCGGCACTGCCCGGCCTCCCAGCGAGCGCCCCCGAGGCGCGGGCTGCCTTCCCCGGCCGGCCCGCGGCGCCGCAGGACGGGTGTTGAGCGCCCTGCGGCGGAGGCCTGGGAGCCGCACCGCCGGCCGAGACCCCGCAGGCGTCCCCGACCTCCGCCTGGCCACGGCTCGGCCGAGCTGGCCGAGAGGTCGACCCGCGGACACCGCCCTCAGCCTGACCTGAGGCCGCGCGAGGGTAGCTCCGGCCCGCAGGACGCGTCGGGCTGCGCGCCCTGGGTTCCCAACCATCGCTGCCCCCGATGGTCACACCGGTCACACCGCTGGGCAGCCCTCCCCGAGAGTGGGCCGCACTGGGCATTCCTTTCCATCCAGTCAGGCAGATGCAGAGGTGAGGGGTTGCCCCTCTGATCCAGAGTACAGAAAGACCCCAGCTTACATCGGGGCCCCTCCTCCTGCCCATCTCTCCTCCTGCCCATCTCGTGCAAGGACACCATGTACCATGTTAGGAGCGGCCCTGTAAAGGGTCGCACATGGAAAGGAACCGTCCAACCCCAAGCCAGAGGGAACTGAGGCCCGCCAACAGGGAGGTTGGATTCTCCTCTAATGAAGCCTTCAGATAACTGCGTCCCTGGCGGACAGCATGACCACGGCTTTGGAAAAGACCCTGGACTAGAGGTTCCCCGCTCAGCTCTGCCTGGATTCCCTAGGGGCAGAACTGGGATGGTCAACAGCTGTCTCTCTGAGCCACTCAGGGGTCATCTCTTTTAGGAACAGTAGATAACACCGTCACAGCTCTTCTTCTATGACTTGGTGAATTAAAATAGAAAGTCAGTTGTCAAACACCATATTGATTAGAATTACAGTGACTGCTATTACAATTGAAGCCCAAATATCAATACCTTACCAAAATATAAGTTTTTTTTCTCATAATAATCCATTGCTGGTGGTCTTAGGTGAGCAACTGCTCTCCTCCAAATTTTGGTTTAGAGACACGGAGGTCTCCCATCTTTCAGCTTTGTCATTGTATAAGATAGACTGTTCTCCCAGTGGGACAGAACATCCTGTTTTCAGTAACCAGGTCCCAACTAACATGTCACTTCTATTCCCAGGAAAGAAAGTTTATAGCCACAACTAGAAGCAAGTGTGGGCAGGGAACAGGATATGCCAGGCAGTCACAACCCGGAGCCAACTCCGGACAACAGAAAAGGAAGCACAGACTTGTGATCCTCTAGTCACATCATAGATACCCTTAGCCAAACCCACCTGTGACCTGGGGACCTCCATGCATCTGGTGTAAAGTACCCTCCAGTAAGGACTCCTCCACAAGCCCTCCCCAAGTGCCAAGCCCCCCGGCCAGTGACTCCTGAGCACAGGTGAGACCGAGTGCCCTGCGGTGGAGTAGTCGGTGTTCTGCTGGGTTGGAACCCAGTGCCTCACACATGCTCAATGCAGGGCAAATACCAGAAATCAGAACCTTTTGGAGTTCAAGATTGATCATGACCACTCCACCATCTTCTTGCAGTTACCTGCCACCCTGTAATCCAGCTGCTGACACAAAAGCAGGAAGGGAAGGCTCCATGTCCGGAGGAGACCGGGCCTCAGCCTCACATGCTGGTGCTCCTCAGCCCCAGGATGAACAGGGAGGCTGCTGGCCTCACTGCAACTGACATTCAGGACTGACATGGCCCCTCCAGGCTGGTAAAGCCTTCAAGGCCCTCAGGTTCTTGATATTGTGCAGAGTAATTTATAACTTTAAATACACTTTGAGAAATGATCATACATTTCTGATGGCATGACTGGTAAAGGATAGTAAGGATAGTAAATATATCTGAATATTAATTTTTTTCTGTATTCCACATTACAGGTCATGTTGAATTCTGGTTTTGGGCTACCATCCCAGCAATATTGTTGAGGGACAATTAAGTTTTCAGTCAAAACGGGAGAAGGTAAGAATTAACTAGTAGGTTTCTTAAGGATGGGGAGGGTCAAAGTTTTCTAAGATCCTTGTGTCATTTTTGTTAATACCTTTTAGTTGTAGATGGACATAATACCTTTACTTACCTATCTTTGTGTGGTGCTGAGGATGGAACCCAGGGCCCCACACATGCTAGGTGAGCACTCTGCCACTAAGCTACATCCCAACCCCTTAAGTCCTTCTTGATAGCCTTATTGCATGACATAATGGAGATGGCACTGGGAATCCATCATCATAGCTCAGCAGCCAAAGGCACCTGCTGACAGGTCTGGTTTTCAGAGGGAAGCCATGGTTGGAAACAGAGACGTTTCCCAGCATAGACATAAAGGTCTGGCTTCAGTTTCTTATGGTCATAATTTCAATCAGCCTTGAGCTGTGACTTTTCATTATATGATTTCATTATAAAACAAGTTATCACAACGATTTTGGAAGTAGCATCCCCCACATCACTTTCAGTTTTGGGTAGGTGCCTTTCAGTCCCTAATGCACAATGAACTTATGATCCTGCTATGTAAGAAATATCCTTTCCCACTCATGCATGGTAGCACATGCATGAATCCCGGGGACTAAGGAGACAGAGACTGAAGGATCGCAAGTTCAAGACCAGCTGGGCAACTTAGTGAGACCCTCAGTGACTTAGCAAGACCCTGTCTCAAAACACAAAGGCCTGGGGATGCAGCTGGGCACAATGGCACGCACCTGTATTCCTAGCTACTCAGGGCTGAGGCAGGAGGATCACAAGTTCAGGACCAATTTCTGTCTCTTGATCTACACTCTGCTTCTTTATAGCCTGATAATCATTTTCTATTATAGCTTCTGTATTAGCTAGCTTTCTTTGAGAACAATAGAACCTGAATTTAATGTAAAGTTAGAAATTAAATATTAGAAGAATACAAATGGCTTAAAGATTTAAAGAAGTAAAAAACCAGGGTGTGAGAAGGCAGGTCCCCAGTGACAAATGCAGGGACCTTCAGGTGCTGCCAAGGGGTGCCTGAGTCCAAGCCCTTGAAGCCCAGGAGTGACACCTACGCAGTAAGAGCTGGCACAGTGGGCGTCCGAGCCCGTGGCCGTGACTCCTGGCTGATGGCAGTTCATGAGGAGTCATGCTGGCTCCGCTCCGTCCCTTCTCCAGTGAAACAGTGAGACGTCTGGTTGGCTTGGCCGCAGGTGTGTGTGACTGCTGCTCACCAGAACAGGGACACTGAAGAGGAGGAGGGCTCGGAGAAGCCTGGCGTGGAGGCTGAGGACCCAAGTTCCAGGCCAGCCTCAACAACTTAGGGAGACCTTGTCTCAAAACAAAAGGGCTAGAAACATCATAGTTCAGTGCGAAAGCTTCCATGGATTAAATTTCCAGTACCAAAAAGGAAAAAAGCTAGGAAAAAATGTGTTGAAGAAAAAACAGACCAGCATGTAACTGAACGTGGGTATGTGCACACATACACGCTCACATGTATCTATGTGCTCGATATCCCTGTAGGCTCTGACTATAAGATCAGTACATATGTGAGGTTCTGCAAATGACATTTCATGTAGTAACTGGGGACAGGTCTTTACAGAAGTATACGTGGAGCTTAAATCCTTCCTACCAACTGTAAACTTCAGTATTACATTAAATATCAACTTAATCAATATGTCCCCCCAGGACACAGAAATCCTATTGTCATGATTTCTAAGATTCTGCAATAAACATTACATGTATTCCAATGAGACCAAGTTCCTAGACCTGGAATGACTCTCAAAAGAAGCACACACTTACAATGTGGATAGGTCATGCCACGTTGCCGTCTAAAAGGCAGGATACAGATTTACACTGCTAGTGACAAACAGGACCTGTTTTCACACACAGACACCAGGATGGGATGTCATTCAAACTTTAGATTTTAATCCAAGAGTCAAGAAAAATTATTTTCATTAGTTCTTGTCTGTTCAATGAGGTAAGAGCATCACAAAGTTTCTTAATTCACTTGAATGTAGCAGCTGTGACGTACATTCTGGTATGTGCCATAAAGATCCCCAGTGACTTTTCATATTTAATGGTATTTTTCCAAAGTGGCATATTTTTAAATGAATTGTGTACATTTTCTGCCATTTGTTTTTTACATGTTTCTGGTGACTTTCTCCTTGATGGAGTTCTAAATCATTGCACAAGTCAACTATTCTTTTCCTTTACAGCTTCTAGGATGACCTGTGAAGATATCCTCTTCCTGCATCTTCCAGGACTGTCCTACATGGTGAAGGCGTTCTCTTCCTGTGTCTTCCAGGACTGCGTGTCCTACTTGGTAAAGGGTCCTCTTCCTGTGTCTTACAGGACTGCGTGTCCTACATGGTAAAGGGTCCTCTTCCTGTGTCTTACAGGACTGCGTGTCCTACTTGGTAAAGGGTCCTCTTCCTGTGTCTTCCAGGACTGTTGTTCTACATGGTGAANACTTGGTAAAGGGTCCTCTTCCTGTGTCTTCCAGGACTGTTGTTCTACATGGTGAAGGGTCCTCTTCCTGTGTCTTACAGGACTGCGTGTCCTACATGGTAAAGGGTCCTCTTCCTGTGCCTTCCAGGACTGTTGTTCTACATGGTGAAGGGTTCTCTTCCTGTGTCTTCCAGGACTGTTGTTCTACATGGTGAAGGGTCCTCTTCCTGTGTCTTCCAGGACTGCGTGTCCTACATGGT